TTATCTTGTTCTGCGATTTTTATGTTTTTGCTGCCGATATATTCACATATTCCGAAGCCTCCGATGTAAATAATGATTTGACGTAAAAGTACGAAGTCATTTTATTTGCTATTATTATTTGAGCTTCTTTCACTCATCTTAAATGTTATACTCTACAATAGCTTTTTGTTGTACCTTGTGTTTTTTGTCACGCACATTCTTTCCAACTAAAAATACTTGTTTTGGATTTAGTTTGCCATACTTGATTTGACTTGTCATAGGAAGAAATGTCTGCGACAAATAAAAATCCTAGATGTGCTGAATGTGGTAAGTTTTTACGTACATAAGTTTTAAAGTACATGGCAAAAATAAAAAAATTGAAATTAGAAATGAAGCAACGAATTTTTCTAATAAACTTCAACAAACGATTGTTCTTAACGATATCTTGTGTTCAAAATGCCGAGTTTTCCAATATAAAAAGGAGAAACTTGATGTCGATTGCTTGATTTCTGAGAACGAGAGTGATGAATCACAATCAACTTTCAATGATCCAACAATCACTATTCGACTCAAACTTAAAGTGGAAGAATTAAATAGTGAGAGAGTTGAAGTTCCAAGAACAGTTGCAACTCATAAACACTGTTGTCTTTGTTCTGCCGCAATGAATCTCACAGTTATTCCAGAAGAAGGTAGGATGCAATCTTATATTAACCCCTTCACTGCCAGAGTATTTAGATGAAATGTGTCCAGACTGCCGAACTTAGAAACTTTGACAATTTTAACTGGACATACCATTTTTGGGGTATTTTCATCGACATGTTACCTATTTTGTTTGAAAGTTTTTTTACTGACCATTTTTTTATACTACATAATAAATTGAGTTCATTTGTACCGCTTATACGATAAAACGAAAAAAAAAAAAACAAAAAGGAACAAAAAAACAAAAAAAAAAAGGATAAAAAGGGAAAAAAAAGTGGGATGCTAAATCCTTTTGACAACCTCCTCGACGATGCATCCTGGGTTCGGCTGATGTCAAGGGTAATTCACACAAAAGATGAATCAGCGGTTCAAACAACGATGAAAATGATATATCTGGTAAAAGTAGCAAAAAGTCATGAATTGAGTTACTTTTACCCATAAATGATATAGCTTATCAGAATAACACTGTTTAAATGTGGCATAAAACTTGAGTGTGCGAGGACAAAGATTTTCCAAAAAATGAAAAAAATAGTCATTTTCTTATAGCTCTAGTCGGTCATAGGTGCGAGATAGTATAAAATGGACCTCGGAATCATATTCAGCGACCCCGAAAACATAGGAAAACACATTCTGTTCACATTTAATGCATTATCAGGCGTCAGTAGAGCATTTATTTATAGGACAAAGATTTGTGATTTTCCGGCAGTTTGGGCCAAGTCCAAAAAAACAAAGATCTTTGTTCTCGGCAGTGAAGGGGTTAAAATGAAAATTCACATATCAGCAGGAAATCGATGCTGTCGAATTCACTTAATCAAGGATCGATTTTACGACGAAGATCTTGATCTATTGAAGGTTTACTCTAATTCGTCAAGTGTAAGTCCTTCGGATTTATCGAAAATGATGGAAAGTCTCGCAATCAAATGTGATTCCACCCTCTATGATAAGCTTGGAGATTACAGTCTTTCCGAAAATCAAATTCTTATTTTCATAGGATTAAATTGGTAAAATATCATACTTTTGAGAGATATGATGACTTCAATGCGAAATAGACAGATATGTACCGTAACTCAGGCACTCATAGTATTTCTTTTTAAATTTCGCACTGGCAATTCGAATAAAATTCTTGCTTCTATTTTATAACTAGAAAATGAACAACTTATCTCAGAATATTTATTAGCAGTAGTGAAGTCATTTGAGGAAGACGTCTTACTCTCTCATTTCGGATTAAATTCTTCCAACAGAAACGGCTTTATTCAGAATCATACGACTGAAATTGCCATAAGTTTATTAGCTAGTCATGAAAATCTAATATTGATATGCGATGGGACATGCTCGTCATCAAAAAAGTACGAATAATGAGTTTCAAAGAAAATCATTTTCTGGGCGAAAAAAGTCCCATTTTGCAAACCTTTCACGATTTGCACAACTGATGTCGTTGATATGCTGGGACCATATCCTGCAAATATAAATAATGCAGAGATCCTAAAAACTTTCCAACAAAGTCCAAACAGCTTGTGCAAATTGTTGAAAGAGAATGATTATATAGTTCTCGATCGCGGTTTTCGAAACATCAAGGCTGAGTTAAAACTTAAGAAGATCAAAGTGTTGATGCCTACATTGAAAGGAAAACAAAAGCAATTAACCATAAATGAATCGAAGGAGTCTCGCTATGTAACGAAAATTCGGTGGGCAGTAGAAGCTATCCACGGAATACTGAAACATAAATACCGAATACTTGACCATAATTAGACAACAAAATGCTCCCGAAAGTTGGGATCTATTTTCGAATTTGCTCATTTTTGAACAATCTATTCGGAAAAAGGTTAAAAACTGACGCAGGTTTATCAGATGAGACTTTGGAAAGGATGAAAGCACGGAGACATATTGAAAATTCTTTAACTGATGAGGTCGAGGTTAAAAGGCTGGTTACATAAAAAAGTGATGTTCCAAAGTGTCTAAACAGATGACCTTTTAGATTTCTCTGAAATAATCGAAAAAGATCTAAAAATTTTGCTCACTAGATCTTGTCAACTATCGCAAGCGATATCTTATTTAGCTAAAATGGTTGATAAGGATGGAAAAGTGAACCTGCAATTCGTTCAAGATCAAACGGATGTTCTAAAACTTCAAGTTTAATTGCGTCATATTTCTCGAAAAATATATCGGTGTTTCGTGAAATATAAGCCCAATAATGTCGGTATTTCAGGTCTATTGCAGTATGCATGTGACTGCGCCAATGGAAAAAGAACTGTTGGCGCTGTTCACATATTGCTGCAATAGTTTACTATATATCTCATGCAAGATATTTGTCCAAAGTTTTAAAACCAGCTGAAATTTGCAGTAAAATGTTTCAGGAAGATAATATTACTTCTGTAATCGAAGAAGACAGCAATAATGATTGAAGAAATCTTACAGACAATAAGCACTTCGATTCGTAAGAGGCAAGAGGACTCACGATAAACAAGCATCCCGGTTTGTGAGAGTCGCTATTCTAAACCCACTACTTTGAATTTTAAGTTTTTTAAAAAAAACTTTGGTCAGTTATTTAAATATTCCTAGTCATACAATAAATCATAAGATGCTGTTGCATACAAACCACTATATAGCGCGCCACACGCCGCACGTGACGCGTTAAAGATCTTTATTTTGTTTTACTACGTACTACTCCTCCGATCGTTTTGAAATTCTGTCATGTTATTCTAGAGTATTTAAAGATTTTTCAGGGAGAAAATGGCATAGTGCCTCAAGTGCATCCCATAACAAAAAATTCAAAAACATTTGGAAAGTTTCTTTTAACCCGTATTTTTTGAAAAAAATCCGTAATTTTTTATATAAAATTGTGGCATTGAAAACTATAACATATATTTCTTTTTATTGAAATTGGTTCAGCCGTTTTCGAGAAACTTTTTTTTTATATTTTCTTCTTTCCCCCATAACTCCTATAAAAATTATTTTTCAGATATAATACTTAGGGAAATTTAATCTCATATCTATGCCAACTTCTTGTAAAAATTTCAACCAAATCCGTGCAAGGGCAATACATACATGGTTATCTTACTATGCCCTTTATGTATAAATATACAAATCTCAATGCTTATTATAAGCAAAATATCTGTCTAATATAAGTATAAAATATAAATAAAATTAATTAATAATAGTAATTTCTCACAAATTTTCAGAGTATCCCAAGTAATGATTTGCAAAATATTTATTATAATGAAGTTCCAAAGAATACTTTAGAATAAATTAGGCTCGGAATAAGAATTAATTCTTTACAAATTCTTCAGATATTCATTTTTCTAATTCTTTAGGTATTTTTTAAAATGAATCTTCTATGAACTTCTATTCATTGCCGTGCTATCCGAGTCAACATTTTCTCATTAACATATTTTTGAACATCATCTTACTAACTGGATAATTGTAACGATGCTCGTGAGTAAGAAATGGTAGGACAAGTTCTATAAGGTTTATTTCTAAAAGTCAAATGCTTGAGATGCAAGCACATAAAAAATAAATAACAATGTGTATAAATAATAATCTGTTGGTTACATACGACAGTTGATATAAATGAACATTAGATAGATAAATATGTTATCTGTCACATTCTTTGCTTATCGAACAGCTGACTAAAAATAATCTCTCAAAAACGTATGATAGACATCTTTAAATGATGTTATTATCACGTCAAAATAATCATGTCTTTTAAACGTCAGTTATTGGTTATATGACGTCTACGACTGGTAATCATCATTTATCGACATGAAAATGATGTGACGTTGCTGCCTGGGGATAAAATAATATGTAGCGTTGATAGCGCGCATTCTCAACATGTTTATAGTCGAATTTTATACTTAAGATATTTATGTCCAAGATCGGATATTTTATGGACATTCAAATTATGGACATTAAGGGATGTTCAAAATTGGATATCCGATGAATGTCCATAGGATATCTTGTGCTATTTAGGATCTTATATTGCAGGATCTTATATTGCAGGTTACATTTCATTATATTACAACAATATAACAGTTATATAATTCTGTTTGTTGAGTTTTACTACAAAGAAAAAAAAGAGAAAAAAGTTGCAATCGTTTTGTTTATATCTATACTTCTTATTAAGATATTATTTTATAACAAATTATGCAACTTACTCCATAATTTATAATCCTGAATTGATAATAATAACTTTTTATGCAAAAAAATTGAGTTACTTCTAAATTTCCTTTTTTATTAGCATATAATCTTTTGGTTTTAGGTCATTGGATTTTACGTATCAGGTACGATACGTGCTTATCGTGTAGCCATTTATCATGGACTGTCATGTCACATAAATGTCTTCATTTGTATTCGATAGCAACGCAAATGAGATTAAATATCACGTGAAGTAGATAACCATTATATATAATTTATATATGATTATCATTAATAATAATTAATAATAGACTCCTTATGCTAGTTCTTTTAAATAATGTAGTGATCATCACATTAGTTGTCATAAAGATAAATGTACTTAAGAAACATAATGAATTAAATCGCGCTTATAATTGAATTATATTGGGAAGAAAGTGGAGTAGCAAATATAGCATTGTAACTATTAAAACTCAAAGTATAAAGAACTCTGAAGGATAAATAAGTAGCTTCACTGATGTCGCGTTACTTTGTCTCGACAATGTTAAGATACTTGTTGCTGCTGCATTGTATTTCAATAGGATTTACAATAACATTAAATCCACTATCGATTTTAATGGTACAGCCTCTTGCGTCAACTAGTCATCACGTATGGACGATGCCTTTATTAAGAGATCTTCTCCGTAAAGGCCATCACGTACACATAATAAGCATTCATGAAGCTGATGTTGAGGATAAACTTGTACAAAATTTGACGTCCATCGTAAGTAGATATATTATTTTTATTTTTAATAGTTTGGTTTGATTCAGTTTTCAATACGCGACATCTTAGAAAATAGAATATAATTGCTGTACAATGTAAAATAACATATATAATATAAGCTTGTTATACCTTGTTTATAACATAATTGATTTTTGTATGCCTTACATAATTATGTTTTAAAACTGGTTATATTTTACATTTACAGCTATTTGGTATTTACAATTTATGACAGTAAAGATTAGTAATAACATAATTTAAATATCATATAAATATTACGTTATATAACAAGTGTTTACATTATTTTTATGTTATATAATATATTTTATGTACAAATAACGAATAATTAAATAATATCTGTTTCCCGTATATAAATTGTAATATATTAAAATATAGAGTGTATCCCAGACTCTCTTTCGTAATTTTTGTGAAAACGTAGAACAAATTAAGGTGAATATAAAAGTCTTATATTGTTTTTCAATATTCGTAATAATCGAGTTATTGATTAAAAAAAGATTAGTGAATCACGCGTGATATGGTAGAAGAGTTATAGTGGTAATATGTGCTCATATATTAGATCAAATTGAACAAAACTCTGTATTATTTTGTAAATAATCTCGTAGATTTTTAGTTATTAATGAAAGAAAATTAGGTAATTATGTAGCTTAGGAGATGCAGATATATCCCAATATAGATGTGGCACAGATCTCCACAAGACAACTTAAAGGCATACAGTACTCTCTCGATAACTTGCCATCCAAGCGGCTGTAAGGGCGGAAAATTTTTAGAAACGGAAAGTTACCGAGAGCCCCTTCTGTGACGGCGCATGCATGTGATTGGCTGATAGGCAGAAGTCTTGGCCATTGAAAAGGAGGAAGAAGCATGCGCGTCAGCTTATAACCTTACATCACTATTCGGCTGTGTTTCAATATTACGCGCGCCTGCGCCAACGTCAATATAATGGGGACCAATTTAGTATTAGTGAGCGTACGTGTGAAGGGGAAGTAGCTTGTGCGGAGAGTTATCGCGAGGAGAGTTATCGAAAGAGTATTTTGCTGAGAACGTCCCTACGTCTTAAGAACATCCCCAAGACATCCTCTGGAGATCTTATGCTGTCTGACACTTATACAAGTCACTTTCTTAAGTAATCTCTAAAAGATTATCCTAGTAAAAATTGTGGACAGAAAACGTATCCTATCCGTTTCTATCTGCTTTACTATACGTTTCTTGCACTGCAAATACGGACAGATATGGATAGAGTATGTTTATAATCTATCGGTTTCTGTCTGTAAAAACGGATATATAACTGCGATTCCTATTCCTTCTGACTATAAATACATATAGGAATCCTGTCCGTTTCTGTCTTCAAATGTGTATACGCATCCTGTCCGTTTCTATCTACAAATACGTATACGCATCCTGTCCGTTTCTATCTGCAAAAAGTATTTGAATCCTGTCCGCTTCTGACTGCCAAGGTGTATATGCATCCTACTAGTTTTTGTCTGCAAATGCGTATACGCATTCTGTCCGTTCCCAGACAGCACAAAATATTTATAAAACATTTACAAAATATTTAAATACAAAATATAAGATTTATTTGAATATTTCATAAATATTTACCAAAGTATTTTTGTGACCTTAAATTCAATAGATGATAAATATTTATCGTAAATTTTATAAAAATATTTATTGAAATATATACATTTATATATATTTTTCTCTTTTCCTAAATTTTTCTTAAATTTTCCACTTTAGTTTTCACACGCTACTTAATTCAATGTAAATTGTACTTCGAAAATTTGTTTACCAATTGCTAAGATTCGAACTTGAAATCTCTGGTTCTTGAGTCGTTTACATTACCTACTGCACTACTGTCACTTTGAGAGACGTTTCGTATTGTACACATATGGTATATTCATGTACGAAAACAAATTATTTATTTAAAAGAAAAGAATAGATCCTTTTAAATGTAAAAAATACGATTAAAAATTATATAAAAAGTATATTTAAAAAATATTTACATTTTAAAAGTAAGTAAAATGTAAATGAATCATTTTGTTAATTTAAATAAATTTTTTTCTGATAATAAAATAAACTTTAATTTGAAACACAAAAAGATATTTTTAATATTAGAAAATAATTTATTTAATTTTATAACATGATTTACTTGTATTTTATTTACTTTTAAAACAAGCAAATATTTATTTAAACACAAGTTTTGCATTTAAAAAAACTAATTTTCTTTTTGCAAGAAAATCATTTACTTATTTAAGAATAACTTGTACGTAGATATTTTAAGCCTTCGTATACACACTTATTGTTTCAACCTTTGCATACATACTAGGTGGTTGCCACTCATAGCAATTTTTTAAACAGCTGTATCTTTTAAAATATTTATGCTAAAATTCTGAAAAAATGCATGAATTAACTTTAATGTTTATAGAAAGTATTTACATACATTTGGTATTAAAATTTAAGAAATTTTATATTAAAAAAAAATTATTATATTTCGCAATTAAAAAAAAATTTTTTAATTTGCAAAAAAATTTGTAATTCTTGTAATTTTTATTATTTTTAAGTAAAAACTTAACTAATATTTTATTGTTGAAATGTTTACCTTTAAGGAACAAATTGTCTCGTAAATCATCTCTGGAAAAAGTATATTTACAATTTTATATATAAATCCAGGTCTGTAAATATGAAACCGGAATTTGCAGATAGATGGCCATAGCTGTCAATGTAGTTATCGTCAAACCGCGTTATTGACGCCATTTCCTTGTTGACATCTCTGACAAAGATTTTCAACTCACAACAATACAAGTTTCATACAACAGCATAGTTTGTAATAATGTTGAACATGTCGAATTTTGTACCTGGAAACTACGATTTGCGGACAGCATTGATTTTCTGTTACCATTTGAAGAAAACTGCTGCAGAATCGCATCGAATGTTTGTCGAAGCTTACGGTAAGTATGCTCTTGGTAAATCACAGTGGTTTGAGTGGTTTAAAAAATTCAAAAGTGGCGATTTTGACGTGAGAAACGAAGAACGTGGAAGACCACCGAAAAAGTTTGAGGACAGCGAATTGCAAGCATTGTTGGATGAGGATAACACTCAAACGCAACAACTCGCGGATCAATTAAATGTGACACGAGAAGCCGTCTCCATACGTTTGAAAGCCATGGGAAAGATCCAGAAGATGGGAAATGGGTTCCACATGAACTGAATGAAAGAGAGCAGGAAAACCGAAAAACCACTTGCGAAATGCTGCTCGCCAAGTACAAAAGAAAGTCATTTCTCCATCGAATTGTGACTGGCGATGAAAAGTGGATATATTTTGAGAATCCTAAGCGTAAAAGATCATGAGTAATTCCAGGCGAACCATCGACATCGACTGCAAGGCCAAATCACTATGGACGGAAGACAATGCTGTGTTTGGTGGGATCAGAAGGGTGTGATCTGTTATGAGCTGCTAAAATCTGGCCAAACCGTTAATACTAAACGCTACCGACAACAAATGATCGATTTGAATTAAGCTTTGCGTGAAAAACGACCAGAATATAAAAAACGGCAACACAAAGTGATTTTGCTTCATGATAGTGCACCATCACACACAGCAAAACTGGTCAAGGAAACGATTGAGGCGTTTAGTTGGGAAATACTTTCGCATACGGCTTACTCACCAGACTTGGCTCCGTCCGATTACTATTTATTTGCATCGATGGGACACGCACTTGTTAAGCAGCGCTTCACTTCTTACGAAAATGTACGAAAATGGCTCGATGACTGGTTTGCCTCAAAAGAGCAATAGTTTTTTTGGCGTGGCATCCACAAATTGTCAGACAGGTGGGAAAAATGTATAACTAGCGATGGGCAATACTTCGAATAAAATACTTTTAATCATTTTTATACAATAAACGTGTATTTTCTATACAAAAATTCCGGTTTTATATTTACATACCTGGTATGTTTACTATCATTTTTTTGTATCAAATTATTATTGCGATTTATTATCAGTGCGATATATCGTACTGGTTGCGATTAAAAAAAAAATCGATACGTTTGCTAGATAGGAGCGGACGGCGGCCGATTCTCGGCACGTCGTCGTTATGAGCAGGAATCGGTTAGCAGAACGATCGACTCTCGACACGTTCGCTAAACAGGAGCGAACGGCGGCCGACTCTCGGCACGTCGTCGTCAGGAGCAGGAATCGGTTAACAGAACGATCGACTCGCGACACGTTCGCTAGACAGGAGCGGACGGCGGCCGACTCTCGGCAAGTCGTCGTCAGGAGCTGAATTGAATCTTCATTCAGGGGGATACTCTCCCGTGCCGGTTTCCTTGGAGATCGGCGGTGAACTCAGTGTTGAGAGACTTGCGGGCTCCCTTTTATCGTATCGGCTACCGCTTCTTTCCTGCGAGTAGCGGCGCGGCGCTTCGCGGAACCGGCGGATGGTCGGCCGGATCCGCATGCGGGTCTTCGTCTTAATGCACGCTTGCAGTTGCGTACCACAAGTCGGCGTCATGTCAGCGTCGCTGGTGGTGGCACTGCACTGTGCATTTCGGCGCGACGCCGTTAGTGCCGTATAGTGCACAGTGTAGTAACGAGGCCTTTCTATGTCTCGTTACAAAGGAAACGTCAAGAATTTCGCTCGTCGGAGTCCGGGTTCAATAATTGTTTGACACAAGCAAGTAACAAAAATAAATAACACAAGTTTATTAATAGTCTTTGATACAGAACAGAATGCGGTATCTTGAGCGTTTCGGCGTGAGACGGCGCCAGTAATCGTGTCGCGGTTTTGGTAGTACGTGCCTCGCGCTTTGGTAGGCGGAACATATAGCGATACGGTGTATCGTACAAAACGGTGTCGGTAAGTTGCGAGACGTTCGCGAATCGCGATGTCGGAAATTCCATGGCCGCGAGGACACGGCGGTGACGGCGATACGATCGTCTTAGCACGCGGTGCTATATATCGGGTGACTCACTTGTCGCCAACGCGATA